GGTTGACAAGATGCAGGTGAAAATGTTGATGGAAGAAAGGAATTGGTCAAAATACTCGGAATTTCTTACTTTTCGTGGAGGATACAAAAATTGCCTATAATTTCTTTAGGCCTAAGGGAACTTTCAAGCCTTGGGGAGCCGAAGTTTGGAAACCGTGCATCACTCCGAAGCATGCTTTTATGCTTTGGTTAGGGGCACAATCAAAGCTCCTAACCAAAGATAAATTGCTCTACTTGGACATCGATCGTAAGTGTATCTTTTGTGGAGGTTTTGAAGAGACTTGTGAGCATCTTTTCTTCAAGTGCTCTTTCACATCTTCATTATGGGGGAGTATTAGGAGATGGCTTGGCATCACAAGATCAATGACGACACTTGCTATGGCTCTTAAATGGTTGAAAAAGGAGGCTCGGGGGACTTCGTGGCTTAGCAAGGCAAAGAGAGTTGCTCTTGCTACCAAAGTGTACTATATTTGGCTGACGAGAAATAGGAAATTATTTGAAGACCTCTCATATGACTTGGATTCCATTGTGAGAAGGATCAAGACACACGTATATAAAGTCATGTTTACTTTGTATCCGGATGTCTTGATTCTTTATGAATCCTTGGCCATGGAGCTCTGATTTTTTTTGTAGTAGCTTTCTACTGTCTTTGCCCGGGTATGCCCGGAGTAGTTGTTTATGTTTATGGACATTGATTTGCCCGGGTATGCCCGGTGTACTTGTATTTGATTATGGACATTGTCTCGCCCGGGTATGCCAGGTGAATTCGTACATGGTACATTTTTTATCTATATATTTACATTTACCGATAATAAAAATAGAAAGAGCTCTCAGTCTGTCGATTAGATTTGGTATTTTCAGGCAGCCACTAGTTTTCCCCTCATTTTTACTTAAGAAAGTTGGCGCCTCTTAAGTAGATATTTGGAAAGGGAATCAAGATAGAAAAACATTTACATTTTGCATGGAGATCTTTGAGACGATTATCCAACAAAGAGAAAAGGTATGCGGTGAATATGTCTGATGAGGATGAGAGATTGTAGTATAAGACGATAATAATAGGTGCATGTGCATGCACAAAGAAAGGGGAGCGTACGATTTCAAAGACAAAATGTGTAGCCGATATGGGAGGGCAAAGGCTTAAAGAGCCTGCTTGAGCGAAGCTAGATTGTTCAAGCTTGACTTGTAATCATAACGTGGCCTATGGACATTATAAAATGAAGCTTGAAGTACTTGTACTTATTTGCTTAATTAGCTCAGCTCACTCATAGCTGAAAATGTCTAAAAGCTAAAAAAAATATTATTCGCTTCTTTTGCCTCAGCTCCCGACATGATCTTCAATGAGCCTGAGATGAGTGTATTATAAGCTTATCATTTATCATTAGTATTGGAGTAAAAGTTGAGATATCCTCTCGAGATATGTACTTATTTTATGTCTTTCTGTCACATTTTGGGTTTTTCTAATTCCTGTTGTCAACTATATCATATGTATGAATAATCTATTGATAAACTCTCTTTTTTATTCTTATAAATACTGAAGAACGTATAATACAGTATTCACCACCGTACTAACTTCTCTCCTGTGCCAATACTCGTTCAGATTGCAGATGTTTGGTTTTGCGGTGTAACATTATACGTTATGTTGGTGGGTGCTTACCCGTTTGAGGACCCTCAGGAACCCGAAAACTTCCGTAGGACGATACAGGTACTGTTAAGCCTGCCCTGACTTCGTTTATTATCTTGTTTCGATTGCTTATCAAAGTACAAGATTTTTTTTTTTTTTGCAGCGAATCTTGAATGTTCAGTATTCAATTCCAGAATATGTTGACATATCTCCAGAATGCCACCAACTGATCTCAAGGATTTTTGTGGCAGACCCTGCAAAGGTTGGTTAAAATTTTTCGTATTTGTTAGGTTGACCATTCCAGAAACTGTTTCATTCATTCTTTTGTCATTGAACTTCTTAACTCGTGTTTTTATTGCATGAATCGTGTGTACCTTTTTGCTTCTAAGATCTCGTTCCTCTTACATTCATTCGATGTGACAGAGGATAACTATTCCCGAGATCAGGAACCACGAGTGGTTTCTAAAGAACCTCCCGGCAGACCTTATGGACGAAAACATGACAAGCAACAGGTTCCAGGAGCCAGATCAACCGGTGTAGAGTGATGATGAAATCATGAAGATAATCACTGAGGCTACCATCCCGGCAGCTGGGACTAACAGTCGAAATCAGTATTTTCCTGGTAGCCTGGACATTGAACACGATATGGAGGAAGATCTCGAGAATGATCCTGATCTTGACATTCATGTGTAATGTGATTATACGATGTAATGGAACCCAAAACCAAATTTCCATGACCGAGCTCTGAGTGTTGAAAATATAGGAAGAAGCTGTGCAATAGGATTCTGTAGTTCCATTTTGCGCACGAACCATATGTTGTTCCTACATGTTTGTGTCTCTTCTCTAACTCGACCCCCCCATATGTTGTTCATACATGTTTGCGTTTCTTCTCTAACTCGATCTATTGGTCGCACTCGTTTTGTACATATTTTTCTTCTTCAAACACTTCGAAATTGTAGTTGCTCCTCTCACTTTTAAGTTAGCTTTCAAAGGTTGAAAAGTGCATGATCCTAATATCACCAGTTAGTGAAGATTTCCAGGCAAAAAT